TTCTCGTCCTGTAAGCCTGAAACATTCTGTATTTTCTAATACTCCATGTCCTCTGTTAATGCATACGTGTCCTTAAACAAGCTCATTTGTGACTTATTGAGAAAACAATTTTGACAAGTGAATCTAGGTGAGCCATAATGAATTCTAATTCTTCCTTCTACTTTATTTTTAATAACACTAATGGAAGTGCAATTGAATTGCAGTTGTGTTTGCTAATTGTCACTCTGTTCTCCATCATGTATATGGATGGATGGGCTTGTTTGGTATTCCCTTCTGCACAAAATAATGCTTTATGATAGGTATACTTAGCTCTGCGTTACCTATACAGATGTTGCCATAAGATTATCTATATATTTTATGCTCCCTAGCCCCTAGAACAAAATACCAAGATTTGCAAGTAAGCCTACCTCTGTGTGATTTGTTAGACCATCAAAACAAAGAGAAATGTTTAACCTGTACACATCAACCATATGAAAAGCCTAAACAAAACAATAGAAGAAAAAAAGGCACAAGAGAGTTCTTTCTTCACACAGTAAGCCTTGGAGAAGAGCTCAGAGCACACTGCTGACATGACTGATGAGTGCTTCGTAAGGCCCAGGCACAGGAGACTTCTGTTTGAAACACACTAGAGAAATTAAACTGCAAGAAGCTGTGTCTCTCAAACAGGGCTGCATCAGGAGTGAGGGCAACTGCAACAGAATGTTTGTTTCTTGCAGGTCACAAGTACGCCTACAAGAAGGTAGCCGGAATGGAATTGTTTTTCCAGCCCTAGAGGCTTTTTAGGAATGATGACCCTAACAAACAAGACACACAGACCCTGATGCATATGGCATGGTGCCCCATGAGTGAAGGTGAAGAATCCATATTGCAGAAAGATCAAGCGCCTATTCGAGGAGGGAACATAGGCAAAAGTAATGAGTGATTTAGGAGATAATCAGTCAAGTGAAAATTTTCCCATTTCTAACCTCTCCTTCTTACTCTTGGCCACCTCTGGTCCTGAAAATAGAAACCGTGGCAGCCTAGTGGTGAGAGGGAGGAAGAGGAAAGACCAAAAAACATTAAAATGCACCCCAGAAAAGTCTCTTTCCAAAACACTACAGGTTCCAGCAGAAGCAGGGCCTAGTAAAGGAAACATTCATGTCCTATTAGGTGCCGAGGTCTGCTTGCACATGAGATTGATAGTTACACAAGACTTTCGGGGACTGCAAACAGCAGGAGGATTCTCATTATGTAAAAGTGACCAGGACAGTCACAGATGTGTCTCAACATTTCATTCAAGGACTGAGAAAGAATAAGCCCAAAAGAGGGGATGAGAAATCATAAGGTGAGGAAGGAAAGTCATTTGCTATGAAGTCGCTCTCTGGAGACACCTACTTTTTTCCCTAGGATGTTTACTCTTGAGTGAATGACTGAATTAAAAAAATTAAAAAGCCTATTTTCAATATTCACTTTAACAATTTATTGATGAACGGAAGTGATATGCAGGGTTCTAAATAGTAATCAGCTTTCCCTGTGTGCTTTAAAATTATGTACAAAAATTAGCTAAATGGATTATGTTTCCTATGCTATAAAAATGGAATATAGATCTTTATATTTTATGACATTAATGACATTGAAAATTTGCAAGACATTAAAATATATGCTTGTAAACAAAATTAACAACTTGGCTCTGTAACTTCTGTCTAGTTTATTATCCATGGTATTCTATATAGATTTAGAAAACTATTCCAGCCTTCATTAAAGTTTTAAACAATTATGAAATAGCAATACCACCACATGGCTTAAATATTTTATGCAACATCTTTAATCACCTCTTTCTAATTTACAGCATTGATTGTAAAATCATTACAGATGTGCATTAATAATTAAGATATAATGTTATCTTATTATAAATGTATATTATAGATGCATTTAAATTCTTTGCTTGCAATGTGAATAATAGATTTGATTTTATGGCTGCTCCACACATTACAATTTTATTATAAACTTGTGTTTCATGCTTAGCTTCCCAGGCCAGATTACTGTTAGCTCAAGAATTTAAGATTGTGATAACTACCCTTCCAATCATAAGATAATTTATCTTTGGTATTTGTTAACACTATTTTGCACATGTCCTGATGTCTTCCAGATACAAAGATGCAGTCTTTCACTTAGCTGTAAAACATAAAGGTAAGCATAGTTATGTAGCTTTCTCCGCCCAAAGAAAAATGAGTGATAATGACATAGAACATCTAAGTAAAATGTCTACAAGTCCCCTGCCCTTGGAAGCATGTGGCAAGGTGCACCCTAAATCTAACAATTGCAGCGACCCATATGTCATGTCCCACCAGAGAGAAGTAAAATCCTTACGCTTGGCTGCAGCAGTTGGGACACTGTTAATTACTCCAGTGTAGTTTAGATCAGGAAGGGACACACATTTCATATGAAGGGCCAGATAATGAGTATTTTTGGCTGCATAGGTCAAAAGATCTCAGTGGAAATTATACAGCTTTGCCACGAAACGGGAAAGCAGATGTCGGGGGAGGTGGCAGGCATAGGCATGAGTGTATTTCAATAAGCTTTAGTTACAAAACTGTGTTGATAAAATAGATTCTGTGTGTGAGGCGCCAGTATGCCAGTCCTGGTCCGGCTATCTTGACTGACAGAGTCCCTCAGTAGAGCAGTAGAAAGTATATGAGGTGAAAATCAGATCATATGATTGGATTAACTACACTGATGTTTTATATTTTAGAATTTAAACTAATATTTTCAAAACACATTTGGGATTTTTTTCTGGCTTTCATTTTCCCTATATTTTCTAAATAGTGTTATGACTGTGTTTAAATGAAATAAAAAGTTAACATGTTTCCACCATCTTGTGATGAAATATTCAAATATGACTCCTTTCTTCTGGGTAAGGTCTAAGCGGCGGTGTTTTACGTTCAATTATGCAACTGTAGGACAGAGGATTATTGCAATATATCAGTCACTAAGTATGATTGGATAGTGACAAATACGAATTTGCTTAAACAGAATAGGCAAAAAGAAAATTCTCAGTTCCCTTAAAACCCAGTGGCATTACATAGATGAAGAAACAGCAAAAGATGTCATGGGTGTGCTTAGTATATCTGCTTGGATATCACTGCAGAGAGCTTGAAAACAAAGCTGAGTGCTATAAAACAAAACAGAACAGAACAGAACATCAGGACATTTTTCTCTGCACGTAAGTTTCTTCACATAGCAATAGCTAAATTAAATTGGAGGTGAGTGAATGTCAGGGTCCCTATGGATGTGAATTGTTGTGTACATTAACACTTGAACCCTTGCATATGGAGATATTCACACGCGTGCACAGGTATTTAGAATGAGGGAGTTTAAAAGAAAAAAAAAACTTTATAAAGCCTAATTTCTCTCCAAGGGAACTGCTACATATCCTCTAAGTGATTTCACTCAACAAATAAAATCTTATTATTTGTGTCTTACAATGATTTTATCTTAATAAAATGCATTTATATTTCCAATTCTTTTTTCTGGATAACCTATAATGAATATTTCTAATAAGTGAAGTCAAAAGTTTAAAATAGATAGGAAATACTACAGTATTAATGTAATACTTTTCTCCATATTCCAATGAAAGTACTACATTTTGGCTGTCAGCTGCTATACCTATGAAGATGTAATTATGTTTCATTCTACATAACTCCATGATTGGGCTTTTGAAAAGAGAAATTGAGTTATTACTTTTGTTCATCTGAAACCCTTTTAGCCTTGGGATTATAAGCATACAAAATTCTTACTCTTTTACAGTGTTGATTATTTTCTGGCCTGTAAGAATACTCACTCAATTAAAATTTTTCATTTGTGTATTATTTTTAAAATGAGGTCCATTTACAGACTTTCCCAAAGTTCTTAATTTTTATGCTGGTGGTGTGAGCAGAGGGTAACAAAAGCAATGTAAAGCATTTAGTTTTGCTCCTTGTGTGTGTGTGTGTGTGTGTGTGTGCACACATGACTGTACACTGTGCACTCACATGCACATAAATGTAAACCCTCTGAGCATTTAAAACAGCACTTTGTTTGATTGTTTAGTTTTGCCTTGAAAGAAATATTTATATTTTTAGTATTAAACCCATCAACATTGTGGGTTTTAATGGAAACAATGCCCAGTCTTTCATGTGCAGTACTCTGCTAAATAATTAAAGATTTTAAAATTCTTGGTTTGGTTTTTACCATGTCGATACATTTATTCCATTCATTAGCGGAGCATCATATAACATAAGCGCAAACTAAGAAAAGGCAAAGAATGTCATCCCAGCAGGAACCTTGCAACAGGAAACGGTTTCTATCAGGGAGTTTTGTGAGGGCTCATTTGGTGCCTACTTAAAAATATGTGCCTAATGCTCTGGCCTAATCTTATAGATTTGCTTATAGTTTTGCTATATAACAAGACAAAAAGACAAAAAATAAAGCCCTAGATGGATGGATTTTTTTTAACTTTCTTTTGATATTTTCTCCTATGGGTTGAATTTATTATTAAACTAAAGTCACCTACAAGAGGTCATGAACTGTTGCCTCCTCTTTCCTATGTTTTAGAAAAATCTTGCTTCTCAAGTGGTGAGAAGTCCCCATCACTTTGATTTGGATAATCTTGTATTTATTGTAAGAGCTCTTCTTTTCAAACAAAGCCTTATAGGTAGTAGATCACATAAAACTGTGATTAATATTAATAAAATATTACATAAATATACAGTTCTGTGGTAGTCAGCAGGATTTGGCAAGGGAATACATTAAATATGGGACACATAATCTCTAAGATTATTTTATGGTAATTACACAAAAAGTCGAATACAAAGGAATGCAAGAAATTAATCTCATACTAGAAGCCCAAAGGATTCAGCTGAGGGCCTGGATCCCAGCAGTGTCCCACACAAGCCCAGTTAAAGAATTAAGAGTCCAAGGCAGTGTCCCCCTGGAGTCCAGCCAGTGGCCTGGAGCCCACAGCAATGTCTCCCGCTTGTCCGTACTGAGGATCTGCACCCGGAAGGCCCGAAGGCCAGTGATGGAAGCCAGAAAACCTGTGCTGGTGAGGTGAAGAGTTTGTGCCACCAGGCTGAGGGATCCACGCTGGAGCCGGGACGCGATGCTCACAGTGGAGATCGGAGCTCCCCTGATGAAAGCAGCAGCCGTTGCCAGCGACAGTGAGGTCCTGAGCTCCTCCTTCGATGAGAACAGCCACGTTCACGTCAGGAAAACCATTGGCAGCGAGCTTCTCCTAGAAAATCAACACAAGATATTCCCCTTCAGTTCTCTTTTTATGGCTATTGGAAGCAATCTTCAGGTGGATCCTCCATGCCCAGACCACGCTGATTCAGTTCAGCTCGCTGATGAAAGTTAACCTTTAGTCCATGTACTACATATATTAATTTTAAATCACATGTTCAAAGCCATAGTTTCTATTAGACTTTTGCTGTACCAAGAAAAGGGTAACATATGTACTTTCTCTTACTTTTCTTCCTAAAAGTTTCAGCTTGTATTAAGTTATAAAGTATATTATAATGTTTCTGCTTATATAAGTGAAAGCTCAGGGCCTCTTTGTACTTCAGTAATAACAACTTAACAATACCATTGTAGTAAATGTTTAGGTAATACTTAAACAAGTTCAATCAGCTCCACCAGTTCGATTTCTATGGCTTCTCCTTTCCTAGATTCGTTCGTTCAGTTTTGGATTGAAGGATTTTATTGTCAATTCTTTTCAAAAAAAAGAGATGCACAGAGGCTTTCGAATCCCTGCACTTTAAATCACCTGCCTCTTAGCTCTTTATGCCTGTGTACAAAAGCCATGGAAAATTCTTTGGTGAAACTTTTTTCCTCCCCTAAAAAAATTTGTGTAGCTTACTCTGGAATCTTGTGCTCTTGAGTACTGCACATATGGATAACTTTAAGTTTTTCCTATTGACCTGTTTTAAATTTTTCCCATATATTTCTTTCTTTTTTACTAAAATTAAATAACTTTCTCACACTGTATCTTGGCTTCCTTTTTTTCTGAGGATTCATGTTCTCCTTTTCAAGAATATTTTCCCTAAGACATTTTCATTGCTATCTGTTATATTTGTTCTACGTTTCTTTTAACTGATTGTGGTTTCTAATTTATTTGCCATAATGATCTGATCTCTGTCATTATTTTTCTCTCCTTGTAAATCTTGTTTCATGTGAATTCTTTTGCTAATCTTTGTTGTGTTCATTTTACTACATCAAATAATATTTTGTTTCTGCATTAGTTTATGTTTCCTTCTTAAATTCTGCCAAAACTTTTTCTTTCCATTTTAAAAAGTATTTTGACTGTAGTTCCTTCATCCTTGAATTCTTTTATCTCTTTGAGCTGTTGCGTTTAAAGTAAATTTCATCATCTACAATTTATTTAAGAATATGGAATATTTCTTTACAAGATATACCTTTTGTATCCATGAATAAATCCTTTCATAGTGGATATTTTAATTCCTTATGTGCCTTTCTGCCCCTTTCCTTATGTTCTTTGCTTCCTTTACTTTATTGCTTTCCAGTTAGGTAATACCCAGTGGAGACCACTGTACATATTTCAAACAGTAGATAACAGTGTTTGTGTATTAGAAGGGCAAAGGGAAGAAGGGCCAAAAGGATGGTAGCCCTGATGCACAGAGACCCACAACAGAGGAAGCCACCCTAGCCACAGGTCTGGAGAAGCACACAGGAGAACACAGCGTCACATGGAGCACACAACTGTGCCTACCCCTCTGCCAGTGGAACAGCTCTGCCCTTTCCACGACTGTAGTCCCCCTGCCCTGCCAGTGCAGCTCCTACAAATACCTTTGCTTCATGAGGACCAGTTACCTTAATGGAATTTTATTCAGTCATAAAGAAGAATGAATTCACCCCATCTGTAGGAAAAAGGAAAGCAGAGAACATTACATTATTTGAAATGAGCTAGGCTCAAGTATTGCATGTTCTGTGGCTGGGTGTTCCTTGGTGCCATGTTTGTCTCACAAGTGCAAGGTCCTGGATTGGGTCCCAGTACTAAAAAAAAAAAAAAAAAAAAAAAAAAAAATACAACGAGGGAAATGGCTTCTTTCTTCTTGTTTTTTTTTTTTTACCTTCTGTCCGTACCTCCTATAGGAAGATCCTAACGGAAACCCAACAGACAAGTGAGTCTGTGAAACGTAATTTATGGATTTTCATTCCTGGAAAATACAAGATCGAGTTTGGAAGGGCCAAGTATGGTTGAGATCCAAGGACCAAAATAGCAAATGCATAATCCTCACGCTGTTCTCAGATGATTAACGCCTATGTTGGAGCATAATGTGGCAGGAGAGGCCACGCGAGTGTGTATTACAGCTCTGAGCCAGGATCTCGCAATTCTTCTGTTTAAAAATATTTTCACCCAAACTACTGTTTCCTTTTCTCCTATGTTTCCCTTTTTCTTTTTCTTTTTTTTCCCCCTCTAAAAATGTCAGTGTATCTCAATTAGAATCACTTAACTCACAAGCACTTGTTGTTGGAATTTAGTGGTAACTCCCTTTTCCTCCCTTTTCCGTTTCCTTCTACTAAAACAGTGTTAAGGGAGCAGGAAAAGCTACAGGTCACCAAATATCTGTAACCCCTGATGTCCCCCCAGTTGGAATGGAAGCTGTGTGGAGACCAGACCATTAGCAGAAGTGTACGAGTCACTTTCCCTAGGAGACTCACTTCAGAAGGCAAAAATGAAATTGAAAAGGAGTTCTCTGAGGTGAAGCAAACTTTTATAAGGAAAGTAAAAAGCTAATTCCCTTATAATTCAGGGTTTTCCGGTGTTAACTGCCTTAACTGTTCAGAGACCACAGTTCAGAGACTGACTGTTCAGAGAAAATGGTAAGTCAGGCCCCACGTGTCATCTCTTCTGGGACCATCATTTTTCTGTTCTGAGTTCCAACTGGGTTTTACAGAAATAGCTTTCATGTCTCTTCCAGGTCACTCATATACTTAGATTTAATTTTTCTAATACATAGATTCTTATGTAGACTTTTAAAGTAATCTTAGGAAAATATTTTTCTTGCTGTAGATTTGAGGAAAAAAAAAAACTATCAACTCTTAGTATCTCCCTTCATTCACATTCTAATTTAATGGTACAGTGGTAGGTGTTAGCAACTATGCTTTTCGTGTTGGGTTCTGGAATGCGAGCTACCTCCATGTGTTACTGAAAACATCATTTTCTCCATTTTTGTTTTATTTCTTTTTAGGAAGATTTTTAGTGGGTATAAAAGACAATTTTTCCTCCACCATTTATAATTCTCTTCTTTCAGTACTAAGCATGTTGTACGATGTATACTGGAGGTCTTATCTGCCTTCGTGCCTTTCTTGTTCTTTTCCCTTGACCCATCCCTGAAATAAATCCACACCATAATAGACTGAATAAACATTCAAGTGTCATTCAACCAAAAGTCACAATGAAATCATGCATAAAAGAAGGGTGTGAAGTTGTTTGAGCAAGTGAAAAAAAAATGAATTTAAGAAAGTGGGTAAAATATATTTTTGATATTTTAAAAATTTTCCAATCTTAACAGCGTTCTAGTCCATAAACTTTTTGATATGGTCCCTGTTCAGAGGTTAGGACTGTGTATTTCTTCCACTCCAGCCCCAGGTCCCTTTCTTGTGTGAACATTCATCAGGCATCCTTTCAAAAATATACAGAGAGAGAAATAGAGGGTGCAAGTTGTCTAAGGGCAACATAACTACAAATAGAACTATGAATAGGTAAGAGTTGTCTAAGTTACATGCTTCACTAGATTGAGTGAGTCTACTTAATCTTGTAATTCTAAAAAAGTACTGAAATGACAGTATGTAAAATATGAACTAGATAATAAGAAAATAATCACTGAAAAAAGGAGAGAAATTAGAACACTACTATCTTTGAAGTGGGGGGGTGCCTATCATGGGGAGCGATTTTCCCCTGATCACCTCAGTTAGTAGAATGTAGCTCGCATACAAAGTATGGGATTGAAGATGTGACTTGTACCATCACCATCTTCGTAAGGTGCAGGCTTTCCTTTTTATTACATGTTTGTTTGGGAGTCAAACTCGGAGTTTCACACCAAAGCTTACATTACTGTTTAGAGAATGAATAAAAGAATCATTGTTTTAGGAACACACTAAAACACATATCCTCAAATGCACATTTCCTAAACAAAAGCATACTACTATTTGCTGAAATAATTACTAGTTCAAGTTGGGTGGTCTTAAGCTTTTTATGTAGAAGTTCCAAGCAACTCTGACTCTGTACATCAAATAACATTTGGTGTGGGCATATACACACATAGATGGATAACTAATTAACATTATATATGAAGCCACAATGGCGTGCATTCCTTTGTAATGAAAGGCACAATTCACTGTTTTAAAAAGGAACAAAAATAAACAAACACAATAAAGACATTTATCCCTAAGTTTAACTTCTTTGTATAATTTGACTAAAGTCCAAGACTGCTTTTGTTTTGTTCCTAAATGCCCATGGGCTTCTTGAATAAAGTTAATAACAGTTTTTGAAAATGTGGTTAAGTTCCTTTATGATAATATGTAATGTAAGAAAGTATCAAATCGAGCTTGCGCTGTTATATTCATGAACAGATAATGAAAATATTTCTTCTAACTTTGGTGGGTTAATGAATTTGTTTCTAAAAAATAACTAAGATGCATTCTAAGTTAACGATATTAGCTTGCCTGAGAAGAAGAATTGAGAAGGGATGGTAAAATGAGTCACTTCCATAGATGTTAAGAGACAATTTTCTTTCACATCCTTGCCTTTCATATACCGTTCAAATGTCTGGAAGACAGCCTAGAAAACTCAACCCTAAGTGTTTCAACTTCTTTCAATAGAATGTCTTGTTGATTAGCTTTTTAATTGATTTTACAACCCTAAAATTTATGAAAGAAGTAATATATATATGTATATATCAAATCAATTAAATCTTGGATATATATAGAAATATTTCCCAGGTCAATTGGTTTTTCTATGACTTGTTAGCATCTTGAGACTGTTCAACAAATGGGTCTGTACAATGAACTGGTCTCCACTTGCTAATTGACTTATTTGATGGAAGCATATTTCTCTTCCTGGCAAATGTATTACAGTCTATCAAAAAATATTTTTGAGTCTAGCAAAGCACTGACCTCCCTGGACATCAGCCACTTTGCAATAACAAATGCAACAGGGGAACATGGATAGAATCACATATTTGATCCATTAATGTTGAAAGGAACCTTGGA